ACGTTGTCACAGATTTTTGGCGAGCAATCCTCTCTGTTCAATGCTCGTTACCAATGTCTGCAGCTGGCCAAACGTGATGCCGACGACTTCACCACGTGCGCGGGCATAGTCAACCGTGAATGTCAACGTTTTCAACTTGGCTTGCTCACCGAGGACCAATTCAAATGCCTGATCTTCGTCTCTGGCCTCCAATCTCCACACGATGCCGATATCCGGACGCACCTCCTGTCAAAGCTACAACAGGATGGATCAGTCACACTCCAGAACCTGGCCGAGGAGTGTCAAACGCTGCTCAACCTGAAGTACGATTCTGCCATGATCCAGAACGCCGCCGCACCTGGTATGGTCCAGCCAATCGCAGCACCGAGGGCGCAATCGTCCGCGCGCCCCACCCATTCCGACCGAGCGAAGTCCCCACCCTACGCATGCCGATTCTGTGGTGCCTGGCATTTCCACCGCGACTGCACTTTCCGCCAGCACCATTGTCAACGTTGTGGCAGGGTGGGGCACCGGGATGGTTACTGTCATCCTCCATCTCCCAAGGGGGCCAAAACTGGGCTGGCTCCCACCCGCGATCCAAAGAAGAGGTCCCGACCCAGACGCACACCCAAACCTGGTCTGGTTGGCAGCTCCCTGAGCCTGCTGGCCACGTTCCAAATCAACGATGCCGATCGGAGAAAGTTCCTCGACATCCTGATCAACGGTCAGTCGGTCCGATTGCATTTGGACACTGCGTCGGACATCACGATCATCTCCGAGGATCGCTGGCGATCCCTTGGCAAGCCCCCATACGGACCGACCTCCCAATCTGCCACCAGCGCCTGTGGTGGCCGCGTGCAGCTAACTGGGCAGCTGCACTGTTCCGTCTCCTTCCGGGGCGCCACGTTCAACGCAATCTGCTACATCACAAAGGCGAAGCTCAACCTGCTTGGTCTCGACTGGCTCGAAGCACTTGGCTTGGCCGATCTTCCTCTTCGGGCCATCTGCAGCATGGTACATTCTCCGACAGTACCAAACGACCGAACTGACGACAAATCCAACCAATCCGCCCCCGTATTCCAGGATTGTCAACAAGCATCCAAGATGCCACCACACCAATCACCGGTTCCTTGGCATTCGCCAGCAAAACCGTGGTCTCGAGTACACATCGATTACGCTGGTCGCATCGATGGCATTTCCTACCAGGTCGTGGTCGACGCCTATTCCAAATAGCCGGAAGTGGTCGCCGTCAACCCACCAACCGCATCTGCCACTCTGGCTTGTCTCCAACGAATCTTCAGTCAACATGGCCTTCCCGAGGTTTTGGTATCCGACAATGGTACCCAGTTTACGTCTTCCGTCTTCGAAGACTTTTGTCGCCGACACTGCATCGAACACCTCCGCTCACCGCGTTACCATCCCCAATCCAATGGTCAACCGGAGCGATTTGTCGACACATTCAAGAGGGCGCTTTTGAAACCTCGCGAGGAGGGGACCGTGGATGAGTGTCTTCAAGCGTTCCTGCTCTCGTACCGGTCCACACCGAACCCAGCTACGCCAGAATGCCAGTCACCAGCTGAAGCATTGATGTGCCGCAAGCTACGCACCACAAACGATGCACTCATTCCGACTGAGAAGCCACCAACTCAATCTGGTGCCTACAGCAAGCATAAAGAATTCGCCGTCGGAGCCCCAGTCTACGCTCGCGATTACCGAGCAGGTCATCCTCGCTGGATCAAAGCAACCGTGACGGCCAGGCGAGGTGACATGCTTCATGATGTCTCCGTAGGTGATGACACCTGGGTTCGCCATCGCAATCAACTTCGTCCGCGCCACGGAGAAACCTCCACGCCAGCCAGCCATCCCGTGCACCTGCCGCTGCACATCCTACTGGATACCTTTGGAATGGCTCCACAACGGGAGACCACGGTCGAAGCCGCTCAGTCGCCGCCGCGTCTCGAAAACCCACCTTGCCGACGAACAGAAAGAATCCGGAGGTCACCGAAATCCCTCCAGGTCAATCCTCGCCAGAAGCGGTACGCTCTCTCTTCAAAGGGAGATGTTGCGGTCCCGTCAATAATCCCCGCAAAAACACGCCAGAAACCCCAGCAGAATGGCTGTGGGAAGCGGGGTCCAATTCCTTCTCACAACGCAGCAGAGCTCAGCCACTCCGAGACGCGGCCCAAACTGCGCACCTTCTGACAATGGTCATTTACAAACTACCCCCTCTTCGTGGTGACAGTTTTTCTTAACTTAATAACCCATAGCACTGTCTGTGATCGCCCTTTGTCGGTCGTAAAAGAGCCTACAGAGGACCACTTGTCTTTTCTTTCTCTTCGCCTCAGTTGGGAGTCGGTCGGGTCACGTAATTGCGTGCGAGTCGTTAGCTGGCCAGCCTTCGCGTCTAAGTCATTAGCGAGCGTCAATCGTACCCCCTCTCTCGTGTACGCCCGTTCCGAGGGGTCAGCGTCTATCCGAACACTTGCGGCTAGGATCGGTCACACGCTCGCTCAATTTTCCGTCTCACCGGCTAAGCTAGCGTCACCAGGTCAGCGCAATTCCGTTCGATTGGCCAGCGTTACAAGTCGTCATCGTAGGCGAGCTCCAACCGGGCCAGCGACAATCTTATCAGGCAATTACGCAATCCATATCGAGAGGCGGCGTTCCCTCAATTATAACAGTAGCGACGCAATTATAACAGAAGGACTAGGGATTAGGGCGATCAACGGCCGATAAGGAAGATGGCAACTCGGGCTGACTAAACTGCTTTTCAAAATGTTCTGGCCCAACGCTTCAAGCGTCTTGACAAGTTGTGAATTAGCTGTCCACCATTGTCCTAAATAATCTCTTTAATGCCAAGTCTCCTGCTGCCACCAGTAATCTCCAACTCTGAGTACTGAGCGCCTACACATTCCGCATACCAGTGTAGTTTGTTATGCATTCAGAACATATAGTTTCTCCAGTTGGTTAGTATCTATGCAATCACAATGCCGCTGTGGACGTCCGCAAGTTCGCACATACCAGTGCATGGTTGAAGTCCATGTTCGTGCTTCAAATTGAGCGGCAGTTTTGGAGGCAGCCTATCCAACGGTAACTGATCGCGATGTGATCGATTTGTGTTCATAGCTACTTTGAGGCTGGTGGACGCCATTACACCCTCTGGCGGGTGCTGTGTCATAAGTTACTGCTGACGAGAAGGAGACGAGCATCTGCAAGCAGGTGCAACAACAGCGCACCATTACGTTATGGCATTCTGCACAGTGTTAGCCGTCTAGGTGCAGATCATCAGTAATTTTTCCTGCTTGGACGTCCAGATGGCCAGAAAGCACCACAGAATACCTACTCACCGTGAGACAAAACAGCTCGTTCAGATGCTGATAGAATGCATTTCTCAGCGATTCAATACTACGGTTTGTGAAGACGTAAGCAGCAATGACAAACAGGCACCGTTTGTCCCCGCGTGATTTCGTAGCTTGGAACGAGCGAGCCCGTCTGACGGCACACATCCGGCTGTTGACTTGGATCTAATACATCATTGCTTAAGTGTGCATTCGCAACCAACGTCGTGGTAGTGTTTTACTAAACTAATGAATAATATATACCTGTAAGCATCGATGAGACACATGTGTGAAGTAAATGTCAGTGTGACAGATGTGCATGATACTATAGTTGAGCTGTATGTGTTTACCGAAATTGGGGTCATTTACTAGCCCAACTGACACAACGTATCGAAAGAAAATGCGATGACACGGACGAGAGCGTGCGCGTTCACACGTCGATTAATGCATACATTTAGCCATTGCGTGCGAGTTGGTGACGTTTCTCTCGGCAACCATGGGTACCTGAAAGGAAGCGAGAGAAAACATTTCTCGCTCATTAGCGTAACGGAAGTCGCAGTACTAAGAAACAGAGTTCGCGTTGTCACATTGACAATGCAAATGAAGCGAAAAGCTAACCGACCAAACGATTCATCCTTTCATTAAAAAGCGTATACTTAACAATTGCCGTAAAGTTGGCCAGAATGGGAGCCACAACGCTGTGAAGAGCAAATAGTGACAAAATGAAAATCATCTTGTAGGCTCGTCAGATTGTTTACACAGATGTATGTAGAAAAGAGCCAACCTCATTTGCGTACGTTAGTGCAGGTTGTGCAACGTTATGTCGTCTCTCGTTGTACACAGTCTATATCTCGTATTGTAGTTGGATTAGGGCAATGTCAAGGTGTTTTTTAAACACGGGTAATTTAAGGGCGGAAACAAAGTAATTTGGGAGTGCATTCCATGGATGGCAGACACAACCCGAGAAAAAGTTTCTCCTACATTTTAGCCGACCGTTTTGTGTAGCCAATTTGATTTGATGGCCTCCAAATTCGTGTTATGATTGACTTGGCGGCAGACGTGGTTGCGGTTCCTCAAAATCTGTTTGGCTGTTGTTAGGTCGCCACGTATGCACCGATAGTGACCGCTGTACAACTTTAGATTCCTCAGCCTAAGTTGATATGGAAGATGGAACAACCCTTTGACATGTTTGCTGGCTCTTCGCTGTGAAGTCTTGAGTGCTGCGAGATCT